TCCATGTTGCTAGGCCCACGTGGCATTGCTGCTTCTCTCTGGGATATATATATAATTATTATTATTTTTGAGACAGTGTCTCTCTCTGTCACCCAGGCTGGAGTACAGTGGCACAGTCTTGGCTCCCTGCACTCTCTGCTTCCCGAGTTCAAGCAATTCTCCTGCCTCAGCCTCCCGAGTAGCTGTGACCACAGATGTGTGCCACCATGCCCAGCTAATTTTTGTATTTTTTTTTTTTTAGCAGAGTTGGGGTTTCACTATGTTGGCCAGGCTGGTCTCGAACTCCTGACCTCAAGTGATCCACCTACTTTGGCTTCCCAAAGTTCTGGGATTACAGGCATGAATTAATAAGACCCCTGAGAAGCAAGGAAGGGGAATCATTTAGTCTAGTGGTTAGAGTTAAAGGTTAAAATTCCTAATGAGGAATAATACAAACTAATGTTATAGTCTTGGTTTCTTTTCTCTTCTCTTTTCTTTTCTTTTCGACAGGGTCTCACTCTGTTGGCTAGGCTGGAGTGTAGTGGCACAATCACAGCTTATTGCATCCTGAATCTCCTGGGCTCAGGTGATCCTCCCACCTCAGCCTCCTGAGTAGCTGGGACTACAGGTGTGTGCCACCACACTGGGGTAATTTTTTTGTTTTTGTTTTTTTTTTTTGAGATGGAGTCTTGCTCTGTTGCCAGGCTGGAGAGCAGTGTCGCGATCTCAGCTCACTGCAACCTCTGCCCCCCAGGTTCAAGCGATTCTCCTGCCTTAGCCTCCTGAATAGCTGAGACTACAGGTGCATGCCACCATGCCCAGCTGATTTTTTGTATTTTCAGTAGAGACTGAGTTTCACCATGGTGACCAGGATGGTCTTGATCTCTTGACCTTGTGATCCGCCCAACTTAGCTCCCAAAGTGCTAGGATTACAGGCTTGAGCCACTGCACCCAGCCACGCTGGGGTAATTAAAAAAATTTTTTTTGTACAAGTAGGTTTTTGCCATGTTGTCCTAGCTGGTCTTGAACTCCTGGGATTAAGGGATCCTCCTGCCTCTGCCTCCAAAAGTTCTGGGATGTCAGAGATGTCTCAGGGCGTGAGCCACCACACCTGGCCAGTCTTGCTTGCTTGCTTTTCTTCCTTCCTTCCCCCCTTCCTTCCTTCCTTCCTTCCTTCCTTCCTTCCTTCCTTCCTTCCTTCCTTCCTTCCTTCTTTTTTTCTTCTTTCTTTCTTTCTTCTTTCTTCTTCCTTTTTGTAAAAGAGGAATAATAGCAGCCATTGTGTAAGGTAGTTGAGAGTTCAATGAAGTATAAAGTATGTCACATGTTTGCTTAGCACTGGGTCCTGTATATGGATTGCAGGGGCTTAATCAGTGGCACCTGTCTTCACTCAGGGCACATTTATTGAGCACCTGCTGGATATCAGGTTCTATCCAAATCTCTGGGGAGATAACAGGAACAAAACCCTTAGGCATCCCAGTAGAGGGAGACAGATAAGTAAGCAGACAAGATCATCAGAGTAAGAAGCACTACATTTGGGTATTATGGGGTACTTTGGGAAGTGGGGAGGTGGTAGGGAGAGAGCAGGGAAGACCTTCTGGATGAGGTGCTTCCTTTACTGAAATGTGGATAGGAACTAGCCAGGTTTGGAGCAGGGGCAGTGCAGGGAGTGTTCCAAGCAGGAGAGAAGTCATCTGCTGTGTGTTAGGTTCTTGCGGTGGGGCTGAAGACAGATGAGACTCAGGTGGGGAAGCATGGCCTTGCACTGAGGTTCTTTTTTTTGTTTCATATATTTTTGTTGTTGTTGTTGTTGTTTTTGAGACAGAGTGTCATTCTGTGGCCCAGGCTGGAGTGCAGTGGTATGATCTCAGCTCACTGCAGCCTCTGCCTCCTGGGTTCAAGTGAGTCTCTCATCTCAGCCTCCTGAGTAGCTGGGATTACAGGTGTGTGCCACCACGCCCTGCTAATTTTTGTATTCTTAGTAGAGATGGGGCTTCATCATGTTGGCCAGGCCGGTCTCGAACTTCTGACCTCAGGTGATCCCCCTGCCTCAACCTCCCAAAGTGCTGGGATTACAGGCATAAGCCACGGTGCCTGGCCTGTCCTGAGGTTCTTATAGGCCAGAGGAGAAACCATCTTTCCTGGACTGTGTTCCACAGAGGTGAGCAGATGTGAGAAAGCAGACGTCTCATCTGTCAGGATTGCCTTGGAAATTTCATCGTCAGTTCTTCCCCTTCACCATCTCATCCCTGCTGCCCCATGGTCCTGGGGATCACCAGGTCTGGTGTTTCCGTCTCTGCCCACTGTGGCTCCCACCCGCATTCAGTGTGGTGTGTGTGGTGGTGTCCTGGGCCTCAGCTATGGTGGTCAGGAGGGCTGCAGCCATGGCCCTTCAGCACTGGAGAGATGTCTCAGGGTTTTTTCCCTGGAAGAGATGAGAAGTTCTTAAGAAGAGGGTGCAACTGCTGCCCTGGAGATAGTGGCCAGAAGGGAGGGTGCAGCTCACTGCATGGGGTGCCAGGACACTTGGGGTCCATGGGCAGCCCCCAATGGGCTGGTCAGGGGTGCTAGAGTGGAGCCACCTTCCTGGATTTTATCCAAGTCATGAGCTGACCTCTCCCACTTTCATGCTCCTTTCTGTATAGCCTAAGGATTTGTTCTCCCTTGGGGAAAGACTGGACACATTTTCAAAACAGTATTGAGAGTAATCTCCAGAGGGGAAGAAGAAAAAAAAAAAAAAAAAAAAAAAAAAAAGCAAAAGGAAATGTGTCATTTATTTTTTTTAAAAAAAGGAAAAAAAGTGGGGGAAGGCCTCAGCCAGCTCCCTTGAGTGGAAGTTTCCAGTTGGAAGGTCACAGAGACCATAGGCAGCCAGGGGCACCTGGGGAAAGGCATCCATCCAGATTCAGTATCAATTCAGCTGACAGGGTCACCCTCAGCACACCAGCTGCTATGCTCCGCACTGCAGGGGCAAAGCTGCAAAGATCTGAATCCTCCCTCCAGCTGAGGACAGCTCTGATTGGGGAGCTATGGCAAAAACAGCAAAGGACTGTGAGACAAGAGAAAGCATGCCAAATGTCATAACAGAAAGGTTCAAATGAGCCTGATGGGGCCTGGAGGGGGGTGGGGCTCACTCCTGGGGATGTGGAGGGTGCTCAGGGTTGCTGAGGAAGGTCTTCAAGAACACAGTGGGTTGAGTTAGACTTTGAAGCCCGGCTAGGATTTCGATGGTCAGAGACTTAACAGAAAGCTTTCTGGATAGAGCAGATGGCGTGAGCAAAAGTGCAAGGTATGGAAACTCTTCAGTGCTTTGAGAAACAGGGATGTTTAATTTTCTTAAATATTTATTTAATAGCTTAATGAAGATATAATTCACATACTACACAATTTACTCGCTAATGCATACCATTTACAAAGTTAAATAACCAACACCACCATCATTTATAGAAAATAGAAAAGAAACCATGTACTCCCCATCTCTCCACTCCCCTAGTCCTACGCGACTGCTAATCTACTTTCTGTCTCTGTGGATTTGCCTATGCTGGATATTTTGTATAAATGGAATATTTTTTGTATAAATTGAATATTTGTATAAATGGAATGTTTTTTGTCTTTTGTGACTGGTTCTTTCCCTTAGCATAATGTTTTCAAGGTTCATTGCTGCTATAGCAGGTATCAGTACTTCATTCCTTTTTATTTTTATTATTTTTTTAAGACAGAGACTCACTCTGTTACCCAGGCTGGAGTGTAGTGGTTGCAATCTCGGCTCACTGCAACCTCCATCTCCCAGGTTTAAGTGATTCTCCTGTCTCAGCCTCCTGAGTAGCTGGGACTACAGGCGCATACCACCACACCTGGCTAATTTTTGTATTTTTAGTAGAGATGGAGTTTTTGCCATGTTCTTTACCCACCTCAGCCTCCCAAAGTGCTGGGATTACAGGCGTGAGCCATCGTGCCTGGAAGCACTTTATTCCTTTTTACTTGTTTCTTTGACTTCATTCCTTTTTATGGCCAAGCAGCATTCATATGTGGATTCAGATGTGATATGGGTGTTCACATCTTGTTTATCCATTCATTTATTGTTTCCCCTTTAGGGCTATTGTGAATATGCTGCTGTGATCATTTGTATACAGATTTTGTGTGGATGTGCGTTTTCAGGACATTTCCTGTAGCACGGAGCAAAGGAAAGTTGTGTGGAGTGGGAGAAAGTGGGTGAAGCAGAGGGGCTTGTAGTCTGAGTGGTTGGGTAGGAGTGAGAAGGGAGAGGTCAGGTTCCCACCGCAGCCTCACTGGGAGTCCGGGGTGTGCAAGGGCCAGGCCCATGGGTGTGTGAGGGGCTGTCCCCTACCCCGCATCCACCTACATTGTTGTGTCAGACCTGGCAGCTGCTTGCTGGGCTGGAAATAGCCTGAGCAGCTGGTATTTTCCCTGGAAATTGGGTGCATTTTTTCCCGTGACCTGCTGAGGACCAAAATTAGTTAAACACCTAGAGAAACATGGGCCACACGATTAGTCCAGAGGAGGGGAATGTTGTCAACAGGAAGTTGGCTGGCCAGGGGAAAGAGGTGGTCAGGAAGACCAAGGTCAGTAAGCTGAGTATAAACAGAGGCTAACCTGGGATGTCCCCGCCCTTTTCACACTCATACAGCAATGCTGGGTTTGTTTACAGGAAATGCTGCAAGTATCTCATTGACCCCTTTTGACAGATGGGAAAACAGAGACATGGCATTAAAGGGATCTGCCACTCAGAGACAGAAGAGAGATGAAGGCTGGAGTCTTCAGTTCTGCTGTGAGCAGAAGATTTAGTAAAACCCAGGCCATGCCCTCAATGCGTTGCCTGTCTTTGAGTTCACAAAGGATACTGAGGACACTAAAACAAGGAAGAGTTTATGCTCTTTCAGCCTCCTAAAAAGAACATCAAGTCCCACCCCAAACCCCAAAGCCAAACATAAACTAGGCTTTAATTACTGTCTCTTCTTTTCTTTCCTTCCTGGTTTTTTTTTTTCCTTTTTGTTGTCCAGCCAGAAAACATTATGTTGTTAGACAAAAATATTCCCATTCCACACATCAAGCTGATTGACTTTGGTCTGGCTCACGAAATAGAAGATGGAGTTGAATTTAAGAACATTTTTGGGACGCCAGAATTTGTGGGTAAGTTTTAGGCTTGTTTCTCTCTCAGCTAAGAATCTGGCATCAAAGGTAGAGATCCCGGGAAGAAACCTGTGTCTGGGGCCATGGCCTCTGGGCAAAGAGATGATGCCTTGAGACATCCCTAGAAACCTAATGGGTGGGGGAGGAAATGTCTTGTTGGGCCTGTGGGTGAGGGCCCAGGTGTAGGCTTTGAGTGCTCAGTAGGGTAAGGGCTGAGTGGGGCCCTGTGGCTCTCAGTGGGGCTACAGCCTAGGCTGTTAAAGCCTTGCAGCGCTGGCCCCACCTCCTGCTCTTAGATGAGTTTATTCTTATGAAGATTTAAAAATACCTCGCCCTCTTGAATTCCCATAAACTCAACCTTCTCTGAACTAGCTTTTGATTTCCTGAAAAAGGAAAAGGAAATAATCTGCCAAATACCAAATCCACCCACTCGCCTCTCCTCTATGCCTGGCTTTATGTCATGTATGGGGGTGCCCAGCTCCCGTGGGGCCCTGCCTGCTTTCTCTTCCCTCTGTTTCTCTCATCCTTGGTCCAGGCCCCTGCCCATTCTGTACCCCAGAAGCCTCCTTTTAGGACTTGGGCCAGAGGTTGGGATCATGAAGAAACAGCCTGTAGGGAGGGAAGGAATGAGCGCTGAGAACCACCGTCTGCTTATCTGCTTCGGGAGTTGAAGTGGTCTTGGAGATAGAGGGTGGGCATGATGTCCTCAACATCTGGATGCTAAAACTTCTGACCACAGTCAAATCAAAAAGAGAGACAGAATATATCAGACCAGCCACCTGATGGATTTTCAGGCTCTGCAGCCACTATAGAATACTGCTCAGAGACCCCAGAGACCCCAGGGCAGGGAGCCTTTGCCGTGTGCCAGGCACTATGTCTCATGATCTACAGACATTGTCTTAATTATCCTCAAATGGCTTCCTGAGGCAGGGTTCATTATTTTCTCCAACAAGTGCCTTGTTTAAGGCAACACAAGGCCATGCAGCTGAGATGCAAATACAGAACCAGCCAACAGCAAAGCCTGTGCTCTTCCCATTATGCCAGGTTGTCTTTCTAAGAAAACCGTACAATGACAGAGACATAGAAATATGAAGAGAGGATGAGCGAAAGAGGGTAGAAAGAGGAAGCCTATCATAGGTCTCTTTGGCATTCTAAAAGGTGGAAATAGAGA